CCCCCATCCATTTCCTGGGGGTTCCTGGTGCCCTTGGGCCCGCTCCCACCCTCTGTCCTCCCCCCAGAGTTGTGCCGCATCAACGAGGACCAGAAAGTGGCACTGGACCTTGATCCCTACGTGAAGAAGCTGCTGAACGCCCGGCGCAGGGTGGTGCTGGTCAACAACATCCTGCAGAACGCCCAGGTCAGCAGCGGGGGGGCAAGTTGGGGGCTACAGGTGTTTTTGGGGGATCCCAACTTCCCCTCCACCCATCCTGACAGCTGCTTTCTCCCCACCCAGGAACGGCTGCGGAGGCTGAACCACAGCGTGGCCAAGGAGACGGTGCGGAGGAAAGCCATGCTGGAGGCGGCGGGTGGCTACCCCCAGGGCCTGCCGGGCAAGTGAGGGCCCCCCCCCTGCGCCGAGGGCAGCGCTGGGCTGGATCCACCTGGCACCACAGCTGCGCCAACAGCCCTGGGAGGCGACGGGTGTGTCCCTGTAAGGACAGTGAAGGCAGCGGGCCGCTGGTGAGGGGAGCGGGGATCCCTGTTTGTAGCAGCGCTCTCCTTGAGTGTCCGCAGCGCGGGAAGGGGTGAGAAGTTCTGCGCGGTGAGGCCGCAGCTCTTCAGCTGAAGGAAGCGGGGGACACACACCCCCCTCCCGCCTCGAGTTGTATTCCCAAATTTGTAGGCACTGTAATAAAAGTGACCGCGCGTTGCTTTATGGGCTGGTGAGGCAGCGCGAGTCTGTAACGCTGCTGCGTCCCGTGGGCCTCGGGGAGGGCAGAACTGGGAGGGTGCTGCCAGCAGAGAGAGCGGTTTTGGGGTTCAGCATCCCGAGGTGGGCTCCATCAAGTTCTGGAAGCTCCTCTGGCTGTTAAACCTTTTTTTCGGCCCCTTTCTAAAACATGCATCTTCTACCTAAACAAAGAGGATGCGCTCGAAAGGGGGGAACGTTTTAATGGGCAACTCGTAAAAAAAACAGCCCCGAGGGACGGGTTGCGTCAGCCGGCTGCGTTCGCCGAGGCCGGGCTCGGTCCTTCGCTCAGTTCTTCGCCTCCTTCAGGCAGCAGCACCCGGTGGGGGGAACAGTCCCGCTGCGGGGGGAGAGACAGGCTGTGGCGGGGGGCACCATTCCCTCCCCTGCCTGCAGCTGCCCACTCCCAGGCCACAGTTCCACCAGGCTTTACCTGGGCCAGTCACTCTTGCGTCTCCATGCTTTCCTCCTCCTCGCCCGTAGCAGGTTCTTCTTGATTCTCCTCTTCCTCTTCTCCTTCTTTCTTCTCCGGAGGCTTCTCGTAAGCCTTCTCAGAAGGCGTCACTATCACTCCATCCCACGTGGACATTTCAGAAGCCAGATCTGAAAAAAAAAACCAGCAGCTCGGGGTGACCTGGAGCAGCGCGGACAAACCCCGGCCCCAGGATGTGCAGAGGGAAGCACGACACCCCCGCTCTGCCCCCCCGCTGCTCCGGGGTTTAATGAATCATTTCACAGAGCTCTTAATTTTCTCCAGCAAAGCCTCAAACCAGTCCCACTCCTCCACCGAGGTGTCGATGGTCTGCATGGAGGAACACCCACATGTTGCACCGACCCCACTTACAGCTGGCGTCGCCTTCCTGGCCGAGGATTTTCCTGTAGCCTCCGTGGGAGAGAATGCGGACAAGGGTCTGCGCGGTGTAGCACACCATGTCCTGCGGGGAGGGGGACGCGTCAGAGCCGGGGCACCTTCCTGTCCCTCCTCCCGCTGCAGGACGGGCACCTCACCTGCTGTTCCAGGGTCATAACCGTGTGGACTCGGAAGTTCCCGCTCTCACAGGGATCGGTGATCCCCACAGACCCCGGGAGGAAGAGCCCCGCGGCCAGAATCTGAAGACAGCGCCTACAGGACAAGACATTTTGGGTTAGAAAAGACTGTTCCAGCACAAAATGCAACGAGAAAGTCTGCAATTAGCCCAGCTACATGAGGAGTCGGCTTTGCCTCCAGTTCAGGTCCCTACACACCCTGAGACTTCGCCACTTTTACTGGGTACGTTCAAACCTGAGACAGTAACAGGAATTTATACGAGTGAAGCAAACGGCAACGGACCTGTAGGCGATGTTGAGAGCCAGGGGCTGCCTAGTGGGGTTGTTCATCACAGCGTAGTGCCCCTGAGGTGAAAAAAGAAAGAGGGAGTTGGGACAAAAGCAGCTTCTGCAAGAGAAGCACCAGAATCCCAACTCCTGCTGTAGCCGGAGCCCCGGGGCGTGCAGGCAGCGCCAGGCTCACAGTGGCAGCGTTCCCCCTCCCTCGTGCACTCACCAGCAGGTCCAGAATCCAGGGCGTGAGGGGCTCAAAGCCGGGGAATCGAATTCTCAGGTCTTTCAGCAGCCGGATTAAAACCTTCACCCTGGAGAAGATGGCAGGAGGAGGGTTACAGGAACAGCTCTCCTTGTTTTTTTCGCTTCCTCGTTCTCTGGAAGGGAGATTATTTCAACCGGCCCTTCCCGTTTTGAGGCCAAACTCACGTGGACTGCGAAGCGTTCTCCTCAAACCAGCGAGCGTGTCTGATGGCAGCCAGGGCGCTCTGCAGCACTTTGATGTCCACTGGAAGAAGCAGCAGAAATACCCGGTTTTTTTTAACCCAAAGGTGATTAAGTGTGGGGGATTCCACCAGGGGAGGTGAAGGTCCACGTGGCGGGCGGAGCAAGCTGAGCTCTTACGGTGTAATTCGGGGTCCAGCTTGCGGAGATTGGGCGGCACCGTGGTGATCAGGATCTTCACCGTGGCGTCGGCAGAGCTGATCTCAAATCCGGTCTCGTTGGTCAGCATGGTCAGGACTGGGGAGAAAAAAAAACAAGAATTCCTCTTGGAGGGGCTAGAAGACCTTACCAGTACCCGGGAAGGCAGGAAAGACCCCGGATCCCCTCCAAACCCCCAACTTGAGGGGAAAAAACCCTCGCATCAGCCTACGCCCTCCTCAACGCTGTCCCCTCCACCCCGTACGGCGCAGAGGGGCGTCCCACCTTCACTGGGGTCCTGCGCTCTCAGGCTTTCCACGACTTTGTTTCCCAAGGCCGCCACAGCTTCCACTGGGGAGAAGCAGGAGCAAGAGGGGAGGTTAGAGCGGGGCCGAGCGCCACGGTTCGGTCAGCAGCCGCCCAGCCGGTACTCACGGGTGGGCAAGATTTTCAAAATCACCACCAGATCGGCCACGTTGTGCCCCGTCGTCATGGTGCCCTTCTTGTAGGAACCCACCTGGCGAACCTCCTCGATTTGCTGTTTGAAAGAGCAAAGGAAAAATTAGTGACTTTAATGCACGTGCCACGTTTCTGGCAGTCAGCGTGAATCTCTAATCCTCTCTGGGCCAGGTTTGGCAGCTGTAACACCAGCATCCCTTGTGCCGAAGCATTTCCTCACGTGGCTTTTTTTTCTTCCCCCCCCCGCCCCCTCCAAGTTTTTGGACTCACCACTTCAAACGTTCCTGGTGCTACAATTAAATTGTCGATCACGTTGTTTATTTTGGTCACCAGAGAGAGAATGGAAGCCTGCAAAGAAATTGGAGAGGGGTGGTGTTACCAGTCCAGTACAGCCTGAAATAATCTGATCTGGCAGAGCGTAACAAGGTAGATAATGAAGAGATTTAAAAACCGCTGTCCGAGAAACTCTACCCACATTTCTACTGCAGCCTTTATTTCAGAGAAATTACTTGTCAGGCTAGTAATAGCTATGCTCTCTGAAGGACAGTCTGTCTTTGAGTTCTTGTTAACATCCAGCCAAAGAATTTAAGGTAATTTTCAACACAAAACCTGTTCAGCAGCGGTCGGAGCAAGATCCTGGTTTCTCTTCAGCAAGGCTTCGCTGAACGCGGTCTCGTCGGCGGCGGGTTTTACGCGGGGGAAAGCCATTTCACACTGAAACAGGATCAAATATCAGACTGCAACGCCCAAGAAAAAAAGACTTTGGTTCAACCCACTCATCATCATGATTTACTCCATTATTTTTTTTTTTTTATTCTCCAGCGTTTGTTTTCTTTGTGATTCCCCATTGTGCTTTTTTTCACTTGTTGCCCTGTCACGTTATCCTAAGGGGCCCTGCTCTTCCCAGTGCTCCCACAGGAACAGGTCTTCAGAAATGGCAGAGGAGCAACTACAGGGTGTGAAACAGGGCACCTCTAACAATAGATTTACCAAGGAGGGGTTTATTAACTATATTACAGTCCCTTAACAATTTGTCTGCAGATGGCTGGAGTTGCCGTGACGGGATCGACAGCCCCAGGGCCTGGAAGGCAAAGAGTCAGGAAACTTGTTTGCCGTGGAAGTCACGTGTCCGTAAGGGGCAGATGCTGGGCAGGAGGAGGAAATTATTTTCTCCTGTAATAAGGTGGGAAATGTGTCTTGATCCTTGTGAGGACCAACAGAGCAAAAGAGCCCGAAACCCATCTAACGGGTGAGTGATGGCTACTGGAGGAGCGACCCACGAGGTTTGTGTTACAGAGCTGGCAGAACTGAGGGTCTGGGTGCCTTAAAAAGCTGAAAAACCTCAACCAAGGCGTTTTATTTGTTGTGATTCTTACTCAACTGCATCCTAGTCATCCCGTGTGACACAAGTACTCCAAACAACAGGGACAGTAAGAAGATCTATATCGGGTTAGTTACTGAACCAAGAGTTTTTTCAGTGAATTCCTTCACTCCGGCTACGCTAAAAGAAGTCAAACCATCAAAGTCAGCACACGAGGTTTTTTTAAGATGCATCTTTAAACAAGGAAAAGTCTTGCAGCTGTTGCCTGCAAACAGCTCCGTAGGAGAGGGTTACTCACGACATAGAAATCAAAGGGGATGTGCGGCACAAAGGGCCGGAACCTAAAGGGGGAAAGAAGAAAAAAAAACCACAACTTTATTCTCTGTAGGGATATCTGCGTGTTCATCATCACCGAACACCCCCTCCCCGTCACCGTTTCGTGGAGGTTTGGTCCCGAGCCGCCAGAAAGGCCCTACAGAAATAGGAAAGGTTTCTTCATAACCCAGCTAACGATAACTGCCCCCCCTGCCCCGGGGCGATCCGGCGGGGGCCGGGCACCGAGGGCTCACCCGTAAGCGCTGCCAGACCCGGCCCGGAGGGGCCTGCACCCCCCGTCCCCCGGCTCTACACCTCACCGTTATCCTGCGCTACACTGCAAGCTGCCACCCCCCCACCCTGCCCCGGTTTCTGCGCCCCGGCAGCTCGCCCCCGGGGGCGGCCGCAGCCCACCCCCTAGGCCTGACACGCTAGAGAGCCACCCTCGCTAAAGCAGAAGCCAAGACTCGCCCACTGCCAGGGCCTCCCCTGGAACCAAAGCGTCCGCCACGGCCTCTGCCTCGATCGCCCCTGCGGAGAAAAGA